CTTTTCAGATGGGCAGAATGGTTCTCAAATTTTTATTTTGACATCAAACATATCAAAGGGAAACACAACTTGTTACTAGACCTTCTCTCCAGACCAAAAATCTCTTTGATTGTTCCTCCATCCATCCCAATCATCTACATGATGGGATTACATCCTCTAATCCCTACTCTTTGTTTTCTTTATATCTTTTAAAACTTCAGTAAATTGGAATTTCTTTTCATATCACTGATACAATTGATTCATTTTGCCAAATGAATCTGGGTTTTTCGTACAAAACAATTGATCCTTTTACAAAAAAAGTTTTTTGAATGGTTTTATCTAATGTCACACTGGATAAAAATGTTTCAAACTTTTTCTTTGAAATTTAAAGATCTCAGAACCTCTAAAGACAATGTTTACGTGATTTTAATTTTTCAAAGATAGGGTTATTTTACTGAAATAGGAACGTATGCTCATTTCTCTCATGTCAAGGAGTATGCAGTTCAACCATTCAACATTCATCAAAATTGGGAGCATCATCCAAAGGAATTTGGAGAATTCCCAAAGGCGCATGGCAGAAGTTAATCAGACAATTCCTTCTCAGATTTGGCCAACATATGAAGATGATGCACCATGGGAAGATTTACTAGTGGATTACACTCAGAAAATCCAACAAGATATTCAAGTCTACCAGAAAACACATTTTCAAAGATTTCTCACTGTGTATGATCCAGACTACGATTATGCATTTGATTGGAAATGTGGACAATTATTTCAGGGAAGGCCTACACAAAGCCTTGGTGAGACATTAAGATTCTCAGAAAAAACTCCAGAAGGACGCCGACTAAGAGAAAAGCAACTAGAAATTTCAAATAAACTTCTAAGTAGTTTGGACCGTAGCGTACAAAAGGAAAAATAATTTCTTGAAAAAGAAATTGAAAGAATTGAAAAAGAACTACGTGCAAATCCTATGTCTAAAGGAAAAGGAAAAGCAGAATTCAACAAAGGAAAATCACAAGTTGAAGGACCAAGCCAAACAAATGAACAAGTAGATGACAGTCTTTTTCAAGATTCGCAAGATCCATGGCCAAGTGAAAAGGACATTAATACCCATTGGTTAAATCAACACAGTTTGCCATCACAACCAGAAGATTTCATGAACCTTGACACACCCGACAAAGAAGACAACAATCTGACGAAGATATCAGTATCACTTTAATAAAGCTACTTTATTAAAACTACTTTATAAAAACTACTTTATTAAAGCTCATTTATTAAAGTTGTTTGTCCTTTTGTAATCATGTTTAAGATAGGTTTTGTAAAATAAGGACATGTGTCTAACACGTGGGTCCCATGTAAGTTTTTTAATGTTTTCTCTCCTCTATATAAGGAGAGCTTCTCCTCATTGTAAATTATCGAAAATTATCAATAATAACTAGCCTGTTTCTATATTCATCGTGTTCTTCTTCTAAACTCTTCCAGTNTTTCAGAAGGTACAAAATAATTGTAGATTTGAGTGATATAGAGTAAGATTTGAGTAGAAACGTGAGTATACTCTGCAGTTGCACCTTTTTCAACATCTGCATCAGAAAGTACTCTACTGACTGTATGATCCGTCCGATGTTACATGATTCACAGCAAGTCCGAAAGTCAAGCCTTTTGTTGAAGCCTATTGAGGCGTTGTGTGGGCTAGAATACCATGATTTACTGTAGGTTGCTGTCACTCCGCTCGTTCTACTAACGATAACTACTAGTTTAGATGACAATGGATCGACTACTTTCAATTTATTAAGATAGAAAAAAAAAAATTAATCACCTATTGAAGGAAAAAGGTCTAGTATTATATATATGGATAGTTATCACCATTGATAATAATAACATTGTCCTATCAAAATAGACACTTCATTTTTTCTTGGGTGGAAATTAAATAAGGAGAACGACAAGTTATAACCATTTAATGAAGAGAAGAGTTCTCTAAGACCTTCACCTTTCTATCTCGTGACATATTGCTCATGTTTGGCCCCCATTATAATGAGTTTGGAAATAATGCATTTTGGAATAGTAATTTTTGATGGAATGTATAATTAGAAAATAAGAAATTTTTTTGTTTACGTGTAACATCATTTTATTGGACAATGTGAAGTTAAAAAGAAGTGAGAGAAAAAAACGTATTAAAATTTTAATGAAAGCCAATTCTGTGACTACAAATACAGTTATGACAAATATAATGGTGTTGTAAAATTATTAGACAATCATTAATAATTATTTAATCTTTTCAGAATATATAATAGATTAGTTTTTCTCGTCCTAGAAAAGTGTATTATGCTTAGATTGTAACTCCCATTGAAATTCTACAAGGGTTATTCTTGTAGAGAAATAAACATTTAAGTTTTAACTCTATTAATTTTTTATATTGTTCTTTTTTTCCTCTTAGTTTTATAATGTGTTATCAGCATGAGGCTCAACCAAGCAATAAAACAAATAATTCTTTCCTTTGGTTTAAAGGAAATCATAAATCTTGCAAAGAAACTCGTCCTTTCTTTTTAAAACAAAATGTTATTATTCTCTTTCTTTGAAATGTGTAAAGACAGTGGTACACGTTATTTGATTTGATTATATTAATTTGACTATACCATTTAATGATAGATATGTATTTGGTTTAATGTAATTTATTACTTATTATCGATATTTTAGAAAAATATTACATTATTATTCTTGGAGGAGTCTCAATTTAAATCAAGATTTTAGAATAATATTATATTGCTATTACGTATCAATATTCCAGAACAATATTTTTATATATTGCTCTTGCAGAAGAACAATTTCATGCATATCAATATTTAAAAAAGAATTGTATTATTGTTATCAAATAAAGACTTTATACCATATCAATATCTTTAAAAAAAAAAAATTGGATCATTAATCATGGAAAATTACAATAGTAGAATATTGAGTCATTATTCTTGAAGAAAAATTAATTTTATATGTTATCTATATAATGTTTATAGGGTTATTAGCATGAAAGTCCATATATTTGAAGCTTATTGTGCAAAACATCCTCATTTTGTATTTTTTTTTTTAATATTTTCACCATTATTTTCACATTTCATTACGGAAATCATCTTTATCATTTTTTTCAATAAAAAGTTGGGAAATGATGAATATACTCTCCTATTTAAAAAAAATAAAGGAAAAGAAAAAATAAAGAACTAATTGCAATCATAGACCCAATTTTTCAAAAAATTACAAATGAATCACAAATACATAATTAAAAATCAAAACTTAAAACACAAAAACCATTTCATCTTCTTCCATCTTCTCCCACATCCCCCACCCATTCCACCCCACTGCTCTTTCCAAATCCTACCAGTCATTCTCAGCTTCAATTCTTTTCGGTCTTCCCTAGAGAAAAAAAGTGACATGTTACGTTGAATGATGAGGCCATCGAAACTATCACGAACTTTTCTGTGCATATCCCTTATGCTTCTAGGCACACCTTGCCATATCATCTTCCGCCCATTCCCTCCGTCATAAGGCCTTAGTGCAGTAAATATGATGATTGTGAGACAATTTGAATCAACAAAATCATCACTTCTTAAAAGGCTTGGTTTATTGATCTAATTTTTTGAAAGAATAGGGCAGCAGCATTTGGGTGGCATATAAGAAGATACCTCAAGACCAAACTGAACTATGCTACTTGTACAATGAATTTGACAATAAGTTTGACAATGTGTGAGTTGGCAGACATTATGTCCATTGATTTGAAAGATTGTTTTTGAATTCAATGGCAATGATCTATACACCTCACACATTGTCAAAATCATTATGAA